GTGTTATGTGAAATTAAATTTTGTTAGAAACTGGTTATTAACTCTCAGATCTGCAAAATGACATAAATTTGCATCAAGAATTTTTGACAATTAATGAATTAATGAAATAAATATTTTGTTAAACTACTCGCTTTAGAAGTTCCTGGTCTGAATGTTGTTGCTCAATTAATAAAGGTAAGTTAAATTACCAATGATACCACACCAAATGTTAATTCATCATCTATAGACATCTCATTTATAGAAACCTTAAAACAAAATGTCTTGATGCAAATTTCCGTCATTTTTCAAATCTGAAAACTAATAACCAGTCTAACCAAAACTAATAACCAGTCATTAACATTACACTATTTTTTCAGTTTGTATTGAACTCGTAGTTTGTTCAAGTTTTAATCGAATTAACGACGACCTTTGTGACTTTCCGACTTTCTGACATACACACTAAGCAATTTGCTCCAAATATCTGACTTGTTCTTTACGTTCATGTTCTATATTTTTTGGTGTTATATTAATGTTGATGTTAAGTAAATCATTGCCTAATTATAAAATAATTTAATCCTTACTTTACGAAGTGTGATAAAATCTTTTTTCTACTCCCGTCTGTAAAATACCTACTTGCACACCCATCTACCGTGTGGGAAGCGTCACTTTACCGCGTCAGTTTCGTTTCCCACGAATGCGAGCCACTTCGGATATTTCCGGGATTTTACCACACGGGTTTGGGAGCAATCGGATGTTTTCGGAGATATTTACCACGCTTTGAATTTTGACTGAAGGTCGTAAAAAAAGTATAGTATGCAACACGTCCGGTAAACTTTTTTTTGAGTCACTCGTGTTTTAAATATTCCCTCCGCTCGTGTCAAATAAACTCGTGAGTCAAATGCCGTTTACCGCACTTGTTGCATTATATACCATTTTGAAATTGTGCAAAAATCGAATATGGAGGTCGTAAGAAAAATTTTAAGGCGAGTTGCGAGATAAAAAAAAGACAAGTGAGGCATGTCATACACGCTATCTTACAAGTGTCTGAATAATGTCATATTTTCACAGGTGTGAATTTTACCGCTTTGGATTTACTGAAGCCGGTTATCAAATGCACTAAATTTTCTCTAATACTCTTCCCATTTAATTTCTGCTATAGGTATAATAGGAGCGAAGATCCCTGTATAGAGAAGCGAATCTGGGACACTGTATTTCCATAACTCTTAAGACGCGTTTTCAAAATTTGCAAAAAAATACAGGGTGCTTCATAAGAATTTTAATTGCTTATCAATACTCTCAAAAAGGTTGCGTACTATTACATAAGTTAAGTTTTTACAAATGCCAATTTTACAGTTGCCAATTTGCTTTGTTTGTTTTCCAAAAGCTCTATCCCCAAAAATGAAGGAACACAATTTGTTATCTCTTCAAATAAGATGTACTCCCATAACAAAAGATCTTATTTGGACCAACCTGTACACCATTGGACAGTGTTTGAATATTGGTCGATTTTGATAATAATTTTTATGTTGTGCGGAAGCTACACACGTACTAAACCCTAGCATAATTACTGACATTTTATTTCAAGCATTGTAGGCACAGGAAATGAAAATTGACCTTATCGAACAGCACTCCAGTCTAATATTGAATAAACACGATCTGTGTTTGGATACGAGCATCATTTTTTAGCCATCTATTTTCTTTCATGTCGATTTTCAAACCTTAGTGAATATATTTCATACCCCCCGGGCAAATAAATTCACACGGATTTTCAACAATGTAATTTATTTCTCATAACTTTTTTTTCGTGTAATAAAAAGAAGAAAGTGAACGGACGTGCAATTTAAAAGATAAACTTTTCCGTAGTAGCTGAAACTTTTTCCGATTTTTCTCATCGCTTCCAGTAAAATATCTGCTGAAAGTTCGGTTGTTAGATGCATATTTATCTCTGACGCAAATAAAGTTTGCGGACTTTTATTAAGCATTCTGCATAAATGCTCTGATAGGATGGCAAAATACATTTTTGTAAAATGTGTCGATATGCTGATTTAATTATACCATGTCCTAACGAATTCGGGACAGTCACGGTTAAAGTGAGCGGTAAAATTAGAACAAAGCTGTCAATTTTAAAGCTTCTTATGATTTTTTTTTCCAGCCGTTAGTTTTGGGAACACGAGAATATTAAAAATTATCTTTCATATTTTTTGTTTCTAAGTGCATCCTAAAAATGCCTTTAGTTACATGAGGTTTACTTAATAAGCTTTTTCTCAAGATGATCCTTAGATTTACGCTTTTAATCAGTTCCGTTCTCATGCATTAGAATATTATAAATATATGTCAAAGTCAACATATGAACGAAATGTATCTGTTAGCGAAATAAAATTGTAGTCTAAAAACAAATTTTAAAACTCTCTAGCATTTTTTATAGTGATATAACATAACATCGTAAGTAAAATCTAATTACACCATTGGTGCGCAGGAAAAAATAATAAAACTAAACCTTCATTAACCACAGTGCCGAGCTACTTCGAACATTTCCGTTAGTGCCAAATCACACGTGTGAGTAAAGGGACATTTATGAAACTGCACAACAATTTTAGAAATGAGTTTGGGCAAGTGTTTGCACTATAGTTTTGGTTAGTTTGGTTATTTAGAGTGTGCTGTCATCACCTGAAGGATCATGCAACTTTTCACAACTTTGTTTTTCGGAAGACAAAGAGGTGCCAAATAAAAGTAAAAAAAAATGTATTATCATAGTTCATAGTTGAAAGTCACAATCACCGAGATCCTGGTGCCTGTGACCATTAGCAAAAACAAATAAACCTATATTATTGTATTTCATCATTTCACATGATGTCAAGAATCAGGGTTTTGTTTCGAAATGAAAATGCAACGGTCAATACGGGTTAATCACGTAGGAAATATAAACATCGGAGAAAAATATTTGTGTTGCGTTCCCATGGGTAGTGTTTAATTCAGAAAAGATGGAAATTTTGAACGGAAACGGCCGACAAGTACGTGAGTTGGGGTTTGCGCAAGTGAGGTTTTCAAAAATTTGCATTTATATTAAATAGATGCTGAACGCAAGTCGCTTGTATATTTTTTAGCAATATTGCAGTAATTTTTACTTCGCTTACGTGAAAACAACTCTCAGGAAGATTACGGACGTTACAAATTACATACGTGATTTTCTTAACACCGGATTGTGGAAAATAAATGCAGACAGTTGCTTTCGTAACTAAAAATATTTGCAAGTGGAGGATTAAGCTCGACTAACCAGCGAGACGAACTAAATAATCTGTGTGCGTGTTGACAAGTGAACAGCAGAAAAATGTAGAATAGTATTATCAAAGTTCACAGAATACTACCGTGTATCTGAGACCTAATGGAACGTTGTACGTTTTGGGAAAGCGAAACGTAGCAACTTGCTGAAAATTTGACAACGTAGGTTTTTGACTCTCTTCTAATCGATATAATATATTTTCAGTTTCACAGAGTTATTGACATTGATAAGATATTGTTAACTTTTTCTCCCTTGTGTCACCTTCTGATAATAATTAATAATTAATAATCATTGTTAATAATTATTAATATAATTATTAATAATTATTAATTATTTTCTTTTTTTTTTTGCTTAAACAGGTGCCAACTTAAATTTTTATTGCTGGGTTAGTTGAATATTTTAAAAACTGAAATTTAGAGTGCATACTAATGTCCTCTAGAGTAATAACTTCTTCGGTATGCAGTTTACAAAATCAAGATTTTTACGTTTACTGTGAAATATTCTCAAAGGAAATTAAAATCCCTTTCAATTCATATATCATGTTCCTTAGCTGAATGTTCTGATACGAAGTCACATCAGTTTGATAATCATTATGGCACTGACAAACAAATGTATTATTATTGATATTTAGAAGGTCAAGAAGAAAGAAGTGAAATGAAATAAATATTCAAATGACACTTTGAAAAACTTTGTATTATCCTGAGTTAGTATCCAGGAATCTGAGAAAGTTCTTAAGAATAGAAATTTAGTTTTGTAGCAATTTTTGCGATTTAATCCGTTCTCTCGCCATGAATAATAAGAAATTTAAATAATAAAACATTTGTTTCCCAATGAAACGGCAATTGTCAATTTCTCATAAGTTCATGGTTACCTTCCATGTACACATATCAGAATATTACGATTGTGTTAACATTGACTCTGAGAATATCCGATAATAAGATATTCCCTTAAAAGAAACTAATCTTTTGCCAATTTCATATAAGACGGAAAACCATGAATTTGTAAACACTTTGTACAGCTAGCTAGCGCCAAGGACACCGATAAATTTCACAGAAATTCGAACTCTTGTATATAATGATATGAATTAATTGTAAGTAAGTAAGTTATTTTATAAGTATTAAGCAAGGTGTATGTGAAAATTGGTAATCTATTTGGTGTCAAGCCAAATTTAAACAGGCATAGCCATAAAAAGATACGAAAACCAACCAAATAAATTTCAAAGTACTAAAACACAGCATGGTACATCATCAGATATTAAGATTCATAATTCTCTTAGCTCATACTCGATATATTGATGACATGCTTTGGAAAAATTAATTTATATTTCAACGAAGCGAAGCCCAAACTATAAGGATTGAAAATTATTTCAACTCTAAATAGTGTCAATTATCTTTTAATAAATCTTCGTGAGATTTTATCTAGGCAACCGTTGCTTAATTTATACTATGCGAAGGTGGAGTCCCGCTTACGTTATGGGATCAATTTGTAGGGAGCATCTGTAAATGCCGATAAAGTATTTTTGGCTGAAAAACGTATATTAGGAAGTATTGCGCATATTTTCAAGTTTACATCTTGTAGGGGTTTATTTTCCCAGTACAAAATTCTCACACTGGCGATTCTATTGATTTTTGGAATGTCATTGTTTGTCTCTAGCAATTTATAGAATTTTAAGTTAGCAATAAACTAACCAAAACTACTAAACAGTGTTCTTATTTAAAAATTTAATAATTTAAACATATACCTGTATATTGGCACATGCTCTTCTTTATACCACACCACCAGAACCACTGTATCATTTGGCTGCGCTGATGACAGATCGCATGGAAGCAAAGCTGTTCCACCCTCGATAGCTTGGGTGTGTAATACAGCGGCACCTGCAACAACAAAAAGGATTAAATGAATAACAGCATTGTGAACATCAAAAGTCCAATAGCAATTGTATAAAAATTTAGAGGAAGATTAGTTTATGCAAGTAATACAATAGCGTCTCCTTTTACCGATAACGCGTTACATTTTCATAAAAGAAAGAAATGTTAAGGCTTGTTCTAGCTTTACTGAATAATCTAATTATTGTTCTCAAATACTAACCTGAATGCAATTAATTTACTACACTTTTCTTCATGTTTTTATTCCGAACGGTATTGTCAATCCGTAAAGTTATACATGCCAACAAAAAGGACAAACGAAAAATCCTTTTTCATCTCCTTTTCTCGACATCGATACCAATTGTCAGTTTTCTTTACAGTCACGTCAAAGACCAAAAGAGCAAATAACATTATCCCGAAAGTAATGATATCCTTCTTTCTTTCGTTTCCTTTTCGAAAACCACAACAGACAGAATATCAATACAAAAGACAAGTCAAAGCTGGTCGTTTTAATTAATACAGACCGAAAATAAACACAAAACACGTAACATGCAAATAAACAAACTAAGAAAATGGTTTTCTACTGCTGATCTGACTAAAATTTGTTTATTTGAAAGAGGTTCACTTTATTTTTATTATTTATTGGTACAAAAATATGATATTTTCACTACGATACATCTGTAGACCGGATTGGCATGGTCCGGGTATATAGTTCGCCCAAAAATAGAGATTCCACTATTATTATTATTCCATGCAGTGAAAAATCCATTCTTACTTCAAAATGTTTATTGTAAATATAAATGACGGAGTAAATTTAGCCATGTTAGAGTATTAATAAAAAAAAAGGAAATTCTACATTAAAAATAATCACTATCGACAATGTTATACACATTTTTTCCAACTAGAGGCAGATATTTTTTCTACTTCAATTCTAATTAATTCTATTGCCACAGAACTAAATATTGGCGAGGTGTTGTTTCTGAAACTGGGTTTGAGTTCTATATATCAGTATATTTAGTCGATGATGAATTCGGAATTTTTTTACGCGGAAAGTTGTTTTAAAATATTCAGGTCCTCGTTTATTAAACCAGAAGCATTTTCGTAATCAGAGTGATTAAAGTGAAAATAAATCTGGGTATCATCGGCATAGGCCTGGACTTTACAGTGCCGCATGGCCCTCAAAATATCCAGCTGTGTAAATAATAAAAAACAGAAGCCCGAGGATAGAGCCCTGCGGAACACATGGGAAAATCTGAACTCGCTCTGAAACCGCGCCGTTACACACAATTTTGTGAAATCTGTTAGAAAAGTAGGACGTTACCAGATCAATCGACTGTTGTAAAAGTCCATAATATTCAAGTTGTGCTAATAGAAGTGCATGATTAACAGTATCATGAGGTATGAGTGCAGTATGCATTCTATTATCAATAGCGGGAATTATATCGTCTGTTAAACCAACCAAAGCAACCGAAGTACTGAAATCTTGCCTAATCCCACATTGACACTTGGGTATGATATTGTTAAAGGTGCACTAGTTAAATAGCTGTTTGTATAAAACTTTTTCAAAAATTTTAGAGAGAACCGGTAAAATGTTGATAATTCTAAGATCATTAAAATTTGTTGGATTTTTTGTCTTAGGTAAGAGCTTTCTTATGGAAGTTTTCCATTGATCTGGAAAAGAATTTAACTCCATACAGCAGTTAATTATGTGCGTGACATATTTATCGATAAAAGGTGTGCAATGTTTTAACATTTTAATATTTCTATTATCCTCGCCTGCGGCATCAGTGCGTATGTCTTGAATTATTTTGTGAATATCCGATATTTCTGCCATATGAAAAGAAAATCGAGCATTATCATTCAAATACCTAACTATTATTTTTATAAAAATGAACTTTGCTATCACAGTCAGAGACACTTTGTAGAATGTTGCCGAAATATGCCCTAATTTGATTTGGATTTGCCAAGTTAATTAGAATATCAGTCTTTAAATAATCCCGCTTCTCCCTTCGTACCACAAACACAGTGAAATTTCTTAAACGTTTATAGTTCTCCCATTGGGCAAACGAGTTCTTTTAAAATCCTGCAAAGCGCAGTTTCTCTGTTTCATATAAAGCTTAACATTGGGTGTAAGCCAAAGGGCTCGAGGTTTAGTTACTCTGTCATTTGTTTGCTTGTTAAAAACTACATAATACAATATCTACAACATTCAATTCATTATGTCATTATGGAAATCAATATAAGCTTTCCAATGTGTTTTAAATATATGAGATAAACCTATCTTATGGGCAAATTCAACTTGAAATCGAGTTACTGTTTTAGGAAGATTTACAAAAAGCACACTAGCATGAATTGATATGACAGTTTAATCAAAGGAAATTTCCCTACTCCTAAAATACAACAGTCCGCAGGGCACAGTGCTTGTCGGCTGACATCTTAAATACGGCCCTGGTTTGTGGTACACGTGCTGAAAAGAGTGGTCAATTCTGCTTTATAACAGGCGAGACTTAAACTCATTCCGAAGTCAAAACCATAAAAGGTTGTAAAAACGGTATATTGTTGTAGATTTAGGCTAGATTAGACTAAATGTATGGGGAACTATGATACAAAAATAATCAGAAAACGATGGATTATCTGAATACTCATAACCTGCAATGGAACTCAAGTATTTATGGCACAATTTATAGAACGGAAGTGTCATATATTTTTATACCAATTAGAATATGATGGAGTTAATTTTAGGGAACATTTAGCTTGTGTTCACAAATTCTTTGTCACGTCTAAATTGCCTAAATTTAATATCGGTAAATTAAATTTCAGACAAGAAACCGTCAAATATATCCGTGTCATGGTTACGAAGTTGCTCGTACAAATTAAAAACCTACATGATTTTGCGCGTAGCTTTTCATTAAGCTATCAATCAATATACTTTTGATTTGGGGATAAAAAACTCATTTCGACTATTCTCCGGGGATATTGAGGGAAAATGATTAAACGTGGCAGAGATTTAAGTGTCGGTTTGATTGACACTTGATATTTCATCCATTTTTTTTTGAAAGCTAAAGTATTCGTCTTACCAAAACGAGCGTTGACGTTGAATGGTCGCTCTTCCAACTTTCGCTATTTTTGAGTGCACATTCAATCGTCATTTGACGAACTAAATAAAACATTTTTCCGTTACGCGTAATTTATTTCATTAATGCGTTCTGGAATGGTGGGTACTGAATGTTATTCACTAACAGTACAATTCAATTGAGGTTCTAATAAATTTATTTCAGAATCGTAGGTGGACCTTTTTAATTTACCAATAGAGTAATCAAAAAAGCTATTACTAGAAAAGTTATTACTTCAACCTAAGCATATAACTAAAATAATTATCAACGACGGTTCTCATATCCAGCTAAGTTAGGTCACTAGAGCGTGCAAAGGGATTGAGTTCCCTCTGCGTTCTTCTACAGAAAAGGCTTGATACGTTGAGTATGTCACGCATGTGCTACATAATTGTTAAACTTACATTTTTATAATTTGAGAATCTTAAAAAATATATAAGCAACAAAACAATCTTTACCGCGAGTCAGGTCTTTACCTTTCACCAATATGGGAAAGCTCTGAAGAAGTCAAAGGATGAATGGCGAAATTTTAGTAAGTTAGATTCATTAGCAACCAATGCACGAGGAATCCAAAAGGTTTGTAAATATTTCAGCCATTTTGTTATACACTTCTGTTATTGAAAGAGAAGAGTAACTCTGATATGTCAAGGATTTTAGATATAATTTATTGAATAAATAGATTGGTGCTTATTTCATAGTTTTATGGAACAAGGGGGGATATGGAAAACGCATTGATAGCCATCTGAAAACACTTACGTCGGCAGTGATTGTATCGCCTGTACGTAACGGCTAGATTTGTTCGTTCGTATGTATCGATAATCACAGTTCAGATGGTAATAGAACCAGCACCAGAGCCAGATGTAAGACCTCTACAAAAAATTGAGTTAGCACCTAGATTTAGCTAGCAAGGTATATTTGAATAAGAGTTGAACTAGGTTTTTCAAATCCGTTTTAACTTACTGGTAAGTGTAAATCAAATCTTTTTAAAGTTAAACCATTGAAGGTAGAGCTAAAAATAGAGTGCGGTTAAGAAGCCCAAGAATAATCAATCAAATGAAGTACAATTAATGTATTATTGTCAGTCACTCCTGTGCATCGGAGACTTTAGTAGTAATAATAATTCGCCTCCTAATTTTTAAGCAAACCTGTTATAAAAATTATGGTAATGTAATTATTCAATGCAATTATCGGTAAAGAAATTTGGTAAACTATCGTTTTCCTTGGGAATGTCAGAACCTAGAATTTCCAGTTTTAAACGTGCCTAGCCGAAACACCGCTCATTCGTTTTAGTATTTGCCAGTGAACTACTGCAAATACACATTCTGTCTGTCCGTAAAAACCTATAATGGGAACCGTACCTCCATTACATTTCGTTTGGAGTTTCCACTGGAGCCTCTAACACAATACAGGTCTAGTTTTAATTTAAATTGCACGTAACGGAGCGTGCGGTTAACATAGAGAAAGTGTCTTTTCCGGTGAAATTACTGCACTATGTTACTCCCAACGTCACAGTATTTGAAATCCTTTGTCAAAAACCGAACTTCTCTCGAGATTTTATCGATCCTCTAAACAGCCTTCTCGTGCTTAACACAGATTTCGTTGCTCTCTGTAAACAGTAACATGCTCGCGGATCTTTTACGACGAAATTTTTGTGTGCTATGCTACTTAGTGACAACTTTATTATTATTTTATATTCTAAACAAGCACGTCAAAATGAAGACACCGTAAAATATAGGGAAACTAAAAAATGATTGAATGCGTACCCTGTGATTTTTTAATTCTGTGAAAAATAGGTTTAGACTTCATAGTTTCTATACCTCCATACGGCAGTTATATAGGGTTGCTGGAAATTTCACCTATTTCTTAAAGAAGGTTATGTCCAAAGTCATTCGGAATAAT